GCTCTCTCTCTCTCTCTCTCTCTCTCTCTCTCTCTCTCTCTCTCTCTCTCTCTAGCATATTTAGAGCAAACTCTCTCCAGTACCCACTGTATCATGTGACACTTGCAAAATTTCAAGTCCCAGAAAGTAATGGAGGAGAGCTAGGCCTTAGATTCTGAATAGTGAGTCAAGAAGCATATTGACAGCCTGCATCTTAGCTTTCATCAATCATCATATGAGTGAGGTAAGCGCATATAAGTGAGGGAATATAATCCTAGAAGGCGTATAGGTGGACTCGTGTAGGGATTCTAATCAGAAGAGTGAAACAGTGAATTTAACCTTATCTATGATTCCATTGAGGTTAATGCATATAAGGGATTTTATCCTAGAACCATAACCAAGAGGGAAATATTTTAGGTCAAATAAATCTCATAACAAAGGGTGAAATTATTTACATTCTCCACTTTTGCTTAAAATCATACTCATTCTTCAATTTTGAACAATAGACGTTTTAAGGGAATGTTTTGACCTAGAGAAAGCATATGACAAAGTCCCAAGTGAGGTTCTATGGAGATGTTTGGAAATTAAAGGTGTATCTGTAGCACACACTAGAGTGATTAAGGACATGTACGATGGAGCTAAGACCCAGGTTAAGATAGTGGGAGGAGAATCGGATCACTTACCAGTCGAGATGGGGTTGCATCAAGGATCAGCTCTTACCCCATTTTTATTTGCCTTGGTGATGGATGAATTGACACACCATATTCAAGGGGAAGTGTCATAGTGCATGTTATTTGCAGATGCTATAGTATTGATTGATGAGATGCGGGGCGAAGTTAATAATAGGCTTGAGGTTTGGAGACAAACTCTGGAGTCTAACGGTTTCAATTTGAGCAGGATGAAGACAGAGTACTTGGAGTGTAAGTTCATCGACGTGACTCAAGAGGTTGACGTTGAAGTGATGCTTGATCCACAAGTCATCCGCCAAAAAAGAAGTTTCAAGTACCTTGGGTCTGTAATCTAAGGTAATAGGAAAATTGATGTTGATGTCACACATCATATTGTAGCGGAATAAATAAAATGGAGGCTTACATCTGGTGTTTTGTGTGACAAGAAAGTGCCTCTAAAAGTTAAAGGAAAGTTCTACAGAGTGGTTGTGAGACCGACTATGTTGTATGGTGCGGAGTGTTGGGCAGCCAAGAACTCTCATGTCAAGAAGATAGAAGTAGCGAAAATGAAGATGTTGAGGTGGATGTGCGGGCATACTAGGGAAGACAAGACTAGGATGGAGATATTCGGGACAAAATGGGAGTGACACCCGTGATGGACAAGATACAAGAGGCGTGACTGAGATGGTTCGGTCATGTAAAGAGCAGATACAGAGATGCCCCAATAAGGAGGCATGTGAGGTTTGCCTTGGTGGGTTCAAGGAGAGATATAGGTAGGCTTAAGAAGTATTGGGGAGGGGTGATTAGGCAAGGCATGATACAAATTTAGGGTAGAGGGCTAGTAGGTAATCGCGCGTTTCTCTTTGCCATACCAGTAGCTTAAGTAGTATTCTCGTATTCTCTTGCCCTTAGACTTCTTTTATTACATGTTATTTCTGCTGTTTATGTTATCTTTTTATCTAGTTGTTGATACTACTTCTCTTTATGGCTTTTTTTTCATTAGTGTATTTCTTGTTAGAACTGTTATGATTGTGTTTTGCTTGAATCGGGGGTCTATCGGAAACAAACTCTCTACCTTCGCAAGGTATGGGTAAGACTGCGTATACACTATTCTCCCCAGACTCCACTTGTGAGATTACACTAGGTTGTTGTTGTAGACGTTCTAAGGGAGGTTATCCTTGAATCTGTATATGCAATAGAGAATAAGAGAGAAAATAGAACTTAATGGTATACTATATGCACATAGTATTAATAACAAGTTCACGAAAGGACGATTCTATTTATAACTTTTATAAACTTAAATTATAACTTATAATGGAAATAAAAAAAAAATGTAAATCACGTAGGTAAAAAGAATAAAATATCATATAAAATATTAAAAAAGAATTATCTAGAGGAGATTAAAAATGGTAAAGACAAAATAAATATCGCATAGGATAGGAGGAGGAAAATATCTATTGTACAAGTTTAATCTTTAATGGAAAGTTGGGACATGTAAATGATTTTCACTCTATAACATAGTAATAAAGGATAACTTCATCCAACATGACTAGTTGTGGAAGGAAAGGTGAAATTTCGATTTTTTATATTACATTAACATAGCTAATAACTCAAGTATTCTGTCGTTAATTTTACTATTTTCTGTGATGGAAATTCTGCGACACATGTTCACAATAATGGAAGGTTTATGCGGTAGATTTGGGAATTCGCCGAGTATAAGCTGCACTAACTATATAATAGAAGAACAAAAAGTTTAACCCAAATTCACAATCATCTTAGGGAAATTTAAAGGTAGAAGAGAGAGAGGAAATAATTGTTAAATCTTACATAGAGCATAACTACTACCAGCAAACACTCACTGCAGCTAAATCCAACATCCTAAAATCCAAGCAATCTCATGCAAACTTTAAGAATCTTGCCTTTCTCTTTCTTCCTCTGTTTCAAGTGCAGAAAATTCAAATTCTTATGAGTGTCTTCATCAGAAATTGAATAATCATTTTGATGATGAATTCTGCAATATCCTCCAGCTGATGATACTGACGATGATCTCTTCATTGAACATGTCCTCTTAACTTCCTTCTTCTCTGCCATCGATTGAACAGAGCGGCTTCTGCTTAAAATAACTCCAAACATCTCTCCATTTTCTTGATCTTGAGCTGAACCATTTTCGAAATGCATAGACTTTTTAGAAAACTCATCTTTGTTGGATTTAGATAATGGAAAAGAAAGATTATCAGAAAAAAGTATAAATTCTGATTTGCCTTTGCTGTTGATTCTGGAATATTTGTTCATTCTTTCTTTTCTTGCTGCAGAAATGGTAATGTTATTTTTGCAGTGTGTTTGTGGGGTTTCAAATAGTTGTTGGAAGGTGGAAAAGAATTGAGTGTTGAAGTTGTCAAACGGAATAAGAAGAAAAAAAAAAGGACGAGAAAGTAAGTCAATGGTTGGGTAAAAATGTGTGATTGTGAGTGTGGAAAATTTGATGTTATTAGGAGGGAAAGTATGAGTTCCCTAGCTCTTAGGATATATTTTATTGTATTGCATTGACCGTGTAAAATAATATCTACAAAATTATATAGTTATAAATTAACTATAGGTGAACTTTTACAATTAACATTGATAACTTGATAAAAATAATAATTAACCTGCTATCAGATACACTAATAGTATAAAAATCTGTACAATATTACTACATATAATTTATTGTTATCTTTCTCTATTCCTTATCATTTTCCCATTTCACAGTATTAATGGATTATTGGTGGTGTTTACAAATTTAAATACTAAGGGGTTGTTTGGTTTGAAAATAAGTTATGTTGGGATTAGTTATGCTTGAATTTGTTATTTTGGGATTAGTTATGCTGAGATTAGTTATTCTGTTATTATTTCTTATTGAATGTTTGATACGTTGTATTAATTATGGGATCGTCAATTTTATTATTTTATCCTGAGATTACTATCCCACCCTCTCGCAGGCATAAGTTATCCTGATACTATTTTTAATCCTGGAATAACTTATCCTGGGATTAGTAACCAAACAAGGGATAAGACGGTACTAAATTTTTATCCCGGATCTATATTTCTTATCAATCATACTAAACGATCCATAAGGGGTCGTTTGGTACGATATAGTAGAGAAAATAATGCATGTATTAACTTTGGTATTATTAATCATTTGTTTGATCTACCTTTCCAACCTATGTATAACTAATATAAGTATTGGTTATAGACTTTATTTGATATTATCCTATATATAACTATACGTAGCAAACTTGATATTAGCAATACCAAGACTTTTAATATATGCATACGCATGGTTAAAGATAAAATTGTCCTTGAAGTCCCTCAAAGCTAAATAATGTGGAGGGTAGAAACAAATAATGCATGTCATTTTTAATACACCACACCAAACAGTCATAAGAAACAATCTTAACATAACTAATACCAACATAACTTTTTTTCCTGTATTACTAATTTCCATATTACTAATATATCATATTCAATACTATTTTTATACACCCGACCAAATGACCCTTAACAGTGTAGATCATTGAACGGTTTCCCATGCAAGTTTCTCGACCAGTCTCTAGAATACATCTTCAAGCTGTACGCATTTACATCTTACACCTTTTCTTAGACTTTCTTCCCCCTTGTGCACCAATTTCTCGAATTTCTATTTTGACAAATTAAAGAAAATGACAAAAAAGAGGTCGTTTTATTTAGTATCCTCCGACATTACCTGTAATTTCACAATCTCCGGTTGGTATTTGATATTACATACTGAGTTCAAGAAATATCAGTTGATGACTTCTACTAAAATGAAAGAAAAAAATACATTATATTCTACACTTGTCCTTGGGAACCATCCAAATTAGAGTTAGCAGCTTTTCTTTTTCTTTTCTTGGATAAAATAGCGAAAATCATTAAAGAATTGAATTGAAAATTTTGGTGATGGAGAAAATAAAGCATAAGTGCATATTCAAAATTTTATTTCAATTTGAGGCCCCCTATGGAATTGTAAAACAATTTTTGTCTCTAGTATTGTGAAGAACGTTTGTCGTCTGGAGCAGAGGGGGGCCTACGTTGTAAAAGGAGGGGTCATCTGCGCATGAAGTTCAACAAAAATTTCATGTATATACGTTTTTACAAAATAGTAATATATTAATAGTGACACTCTATATATAAAGTAGATTCTGATTGAATGCAAAAATGAATGTACACCTGCAACCTTTAAATCTTGAGTCCGCATCTGTTCTAGAAAATATCTGTGTGTATAAAATAAGTCAACAAATATAATGAGAGTTTCCACCGAGAGTCTTGATGGAGTGTTTGAAAATTCACTTGATGTCAAAGATGGGTAGATGGACTAATTTATTGAATTGAAGTAAGGACACAACACAAAAAACAAAAGTAAATAGACTGGCTTATGAAAGAAGGCAAAACGACAGCAAATGGTCTGTTAAAAGGTAGGTTGTCTTCTAACATTATTGGCATTTCGGGTTTTTATAAATTTCACAAAAGATAAAGGGCGTTTCATCTTAAAAAATAATCAAAGTTTCATCCTCTTACATTATACTGCATTACCATAACAGAATTTCTTTTTAAAAGAATAATTGCTCTTGTGACTCGGAATAAACCTTTATCAGTACTGATATAGGGGACTATAGCTACATGGTACGAAGAGATTTCCTCTTGTCGATGTTTCTTATTTCTCTCCGTAAAACTATACCTTACTAATAATTAGTTGATAAAAATTTATCATCAACACGTATTTACATTAAATTATTTAATTTATCATAGTTAAGTAAGAAATTAAGGTAATAATATGTGTTAATTAACTATAATCTAGTAATAATTATGTTTGTGAAAACACTTGTCATGTATTTATTGGATTAATATAATATCCGATGCGAGTAAGTATATACCACAATTAACATTGAGGTTCATAAGGTAAGGGAAATAGAAAAAATGCCCTCTTCTCTCTCTCTCTCTCTCTCTCTCTCTCTCTCTCTCTCTCTCT